AAACAGTGATATTTTTGCCATCAAATTGTCTGATGCCACGTGTCATATTGGCATTTACCACAATCAACCCTTTGACCAGGGTAATAATCTCCTGCCACTGTTTTTCCTTCTTTTTTCCATTTAAATCAATATTTTTCATTAGCTCAGCCAATCAACTTCTAACAAGTCAATATCATTGTTTTTTTTCGATCTTTCATTAAAAGTTGGAAAATTGCATTAATTACCCTTTTAATTTTGGCGGTGAGAAATGTAACCCTTTTCTTCCGATTTTTTCTTTTTCCTACAAAAATAGAATTTGGTAGCAGAGTGAGATAAGGTGCAAAGGGAAGCAAAGATGGTCGGTTTAACTTACTATTTCCTTATGAAAATGACAATACCTAAAACAGTATCAAATAAAGTCAAAATGTTAATTATGAGGCAGGCAGGCATACCATTACCATCCCCTGCACTGCCCTTTGCCTGTTTCACCTATATTATACCCCATGGCCATGGTCATACCAAACCTCAAATCTTCATAACCTTTGTAATTTCATTCCTTTTCCTTCTGTTTCTTTAACAGCAAACCCATAACACAGTAAAAAGTAAAATCTCCCATGGCTGAAAATAACCTGAGAATTGTCGTTGAAAGAAATCCTCCACAATCTAAGCTCTCACAGCTTAACATCAAGTGTTGGCCCAAGTAAGCTTTTATGTCCAGGGATGGAATGAATAAGTAGTCTTTAAAAATTTTAAAATCTCATATACTTGAGATATTTCATGCTCTCAGTAATCTGTCTTTCACTGATTTCCACTCATTCTTTCGCATTCATTTATGTTAATTACTAATAAATATTAGTTTTTGTTTTTAAATTTTGTTAAGCTTGTAATCTAGAGGGGGGGGGGAACAAACTATGTAACAAAAAAATTATATTATTTCTAATGACATTTTTTTAAAGTATACAAATTAAAATGCATTTCATGGTATAATATAAGGATCTGAAGGAAGTTTATCATTACAAAGCGTGGTAAAAGGATAATTTTGAAGGAAAGCGAAACATTGAGTCAATGCACGTCCCATTCAAATCGTCTTTTGAGTTTTTAAATAAGCTTTAAATCTCTCCTTTGACCGGCCAATCCTTGATGTTTTTATTTTATCCATGAAGAAAATAAATTATCTTTATTACCTTTTTTTTTTAAGAAAAAAATGATTTAGCCACTCTTTTGCTTATGTCGTTCAAATTTTCAAATAGAAAATTAAATGAAAGGAAAGAAAGGATATATTACGCGTTTAATATTTAAACTATAAGTTTTTGTCCATTTTAATACTTAAACTTTTTAAATTTTAAAATCATACCTCACGTTTAGTTTTTATTTCGTTTTATTATCTCGCTATTAAAAACTTATCGGGTGATTTGCATGTGACACCTATTTTATGGGTAATTTGCATCATTCATCACTTTATTATCCTCTTATTCCTATTTTGATCAATAAAGTTTAATTTTTTTAATTTAATTACTTAACTTTCAAATTATTCATAATTTAATGACTTTAACTTTCATATTTATTTTTAATTTTTAATTATATATTAATAAAATAATAAAAACTTATCATGTCACAAAAAATTTAACAAAATAAATTAGAGTGATTAAAATATGAGCAATTTGAAAGTTAAGTAGTTAAAATGAATTTTTTTTAAACTTTGGTAAAATAATAGGACTGAGAAGATAGTTGAGTGATGAATGATATAATTTACTCATAAAAAATAATTTTGTTAAGTTTTTTACGGTGATGTACTAAAATAAAACAAAAACTAAACTTTAAGTATAATTTTAAAAAAATTGAAAGCTTAAGTAATAAAATTGACTAAAATTGATAGTTTAAATACTAAACATATAGTTTATCAAAAGAAAAAAAAAGGTTATTAATGTAAAAAAAGAGTTATACGAATGTTATTTTGAAAAATATATATAATACTTGTTGAAGGCACCAGTATATATAAGTACAACTTGCATGTAAAAAATTATTTTCAATCAGTTTTAAAAAATATATTTAAATGTTTATAAATTAATATTTAAATAATATATATTTAAAATTATTATTAAAATTATTAATTTTTTAACTATAAAAAATTAATTAAAAATTAAAAATAATATTTAAAATGTTCTTTAACTATTATACTAACGTAACTCTTATTAAAATTTATTTTTAACATTTAAAATATTCTTTAACTATTATACTAGTAAACTATTTTTTATACATATTAACTTATAATTAGACCTTGTAAATTTGATTTGTATCTGATTACCCGAATTGATTTATTCGATCTGAGACCCTGATATAGATCTAAATATGATGACTTGAAATTGATTTGAGACCCGAAATGAATCGAATCTAACCCAAATTTTGTTGAACTGAAAGTAACCCAAACCGAAACAACTCAAATTTAATTTAACTATGTTTGATTCGAACTGAACTTCAACTTGATTTTAACTCGATAATTGAGTTTAAGTAAATGAATATTTTATTGTTATTATTATATATTTTTAATATTTTAATAAATAGTAAAATGGTGCATATTTTTTCTCATTTTGTATTATACTACTAGTTAACCATAAGTCTATTACCTTCTGTAATAATTGAATGGTTCAATGTAATATTACCCAATTTAAAAATTCTCTTTGTATCAGATCCAATAACTTTTAAATGATTTATATCAATATTCATTCAAATATAATTATATTTATAATTAGATATTAAACATCTAATTAAAAATTTTAATTAAGAATAAAATGTATAATTTGAAATTTAATTTTTCACCAGATATAGGTTGCACCACAAACTTTCAGGTTAAACCAATATGGAATTCAAGTCACAAAATTTAATATGACTTATAAGTTCGGGTCAAATTGTCCTCCATAAATGATAGTGTAATTTGAAACATTGAATGTTTGAAAGTTGAATTTGAACCTAAATTATAAGATTGATAAATAAAAATATACTTTTTTTCTTATAAGAATATAACAATATATTTGATTGGATTCATACTTAATTCAATCTAAATTGACGCATAAATCTAAAGATTGACTTGAACGAAATTGTTTAATCCAATATTGATCTAATAAAAAAATCGATCGATCTGATATTAACTCAACCTGAAATCAATCGATCTGGTATTTGAGTCGACCCGAAAACCAACTGATCTGATTTTGACCCGACTCAACTTATTATTGATCTGAATTAAAATCGAACCCGAAAAGACTCGATCCAACTTGAATCAAGTCTCAAACTAAAATGACCCAATTCAAACTCGATTCGAATGACTCATTTACCACCTTTACTCATAATGTATATAATTTATATATTTTGTAAACGTGACAGGTGAAAAGCTTAGGGAAAGGTGTTTCAAATTATTATTGACCAACTGTGATAAAAGAAAGTAGTTCTAAGGGGTAGAGAATTAATTTACTAAAATAGTTGTGTTTGTTATAGTATCGATTAAAAGAAGTTTATTATTTTACCATTTTAAGATATATAGATCACTTAGGTGGTGTTTGTTTTCATTGTGTAAGCTCTTCAAACCACTTATGTCTGTGTCGCGCAGACCACGCGCAGACATTAGGCTTCGCAGACTGTTTGTTTTTTAGAAGACAGAAGCTCTTCAAACGTATGCGCGAGCTCTTCTTGGTGCAGACTTGGTTTTATGTCTTCAAATGTCTTCAAACCTCTTCAAGAATAATTATAAAATAAAGTTATTTATTAAAATAATTTAAAATAATTTAATAAGGTTATTTATTTTAAAATAATTTATTTTAAAATAATTTATTATAAAATAATTTATTTTAAAATAATTTATTATAAAATATGGATTGATTTATTTTAAAATAATTTATTTTAAATAATTTATTAGTATGAATTGATTTATTTTAAAATATAGATTGATTATTATTGTAGTTGTATAGATTGATTTATTTTAAATAATTATTAGTATAGATTGATTTACTTTAAAATATGATTGATTTATTTAAATAATTTATTAATATGGATTGATTTATTTTAAAATATGGATTGATTTATTTTAAATAATTTATTAGTATAGATTGATTTATTTTAAATAATTTATTTGTATGGATTGATTTATTTTAAAATATTGATTGATTTATTATTGTAGTTGTATTGATTGATTTATTTTAAATAATTTATTAGTATGAATTGATTTATTTTAAAATATGGATTGATTTATTTTAAATAATTTATTAATATGGATTGATTTATTTTAAAATATGGATTGATTTATTTTAAATAATTTATTAGTATAGATTGATTTATTTTAAATAATTTATTTGTATGGATTGATTTATTTTAAAATATGGATTGATTTATTTTAAATAATTTATTAGTATGAATTGATTTATTTTAAAATATAGATTGATTTATTTTAAATAATTTATTAGTATAGATTGATTTATTTTAAATAATTTATTTGTATGGATTGATTTATTTTAAAATATAGATTGATTTATTATTGTAGTTGTATAGATTGATTTATTTTAAATAATTTATTAGTATGAATTGATTTATTTTAAAATATGGATTGTTTTATTTTAAATAATTTATTATTTTAGTTGTATAGATTATTTAAATTTCAATATTGTAAAACTAAAATTATTTAAATCTCAGTATAGCAAAACTCTTTTAAGTTTAAAAAATCAATTTATTTATATTTCAGTTCATTTTAACAGTCTGCAGACGTTAAAAAATAAACAATATTCTTCTTGCAGATTACATACTTTTAAAACTAATAAATAAATTTCCTAATACGATAAATAAATCAATTTTTTTCTCATAACATTATCTAATAATTTTTGCCCATATAATTGTAAAAAAAAAAAATTGAAACTATCCTCTAGCCATTGACCCAGGATTTAGTTAGCTCAGACCAGGTAGGAGTCACCAGATCAGACTCTATCCATTTTTCAGCTGTCTTTAGCTGACAGATAGCTTAACACGCGCCACTCAACCTAAAATCCGCAACTGCACATTGTAGTTCACGCCATTAATAACAAAAAAGATTCCATCATGCTTTCCTCAGTCTCACCATTTCCCCATGCCATATCTGCCTCTTCTGTGCCTTCGTCTCGCTTTACCAGGTTTCCTCGTCTCTTTTCTCCTTCTTTTTCTTTCACTCCATGCTTTTTTCTTTCTTCGATCACTCCATGCTTTTTTCTTTCTTCGATCACTCCATGCTTAATAAACAAACAATCGCACTTGGTAAACGAAAATTTTCAGGCCCCAAATGTCATCCGAATCGCTTCCACCTCTTCCCCAACACCGCACCGTTGTACGTTTCCTCTTTTTCACTTTGCATCTATTTATTTTGTTTTAACCATTAGCATACAATTTGGACTATGTTTTAGCTTTGTTCCACATAATCAACAGCTAGGATGCGGGCAAGTATCGGTTGATTTCTTGGCCACTGTAGCTTCTTTCCCTAACCCAGACGACAAAATCAGGAGCACTAGCTTAAAGGTTCTTTATTTTTTTCAATCTTCAGTTTCTTTGTAGGCATTGACTATTATTAGTTGATAAATTTGGCATTTGTTTTCTCAGGTTCAAGGAGGTGGGAATGCCGGAAATGCCTTAACTTGTGCTGCTCGTTTGGGATTAAACCCACGGTTAATTTCTAAGGTCTTACATATCTTTGCACTTTCTTTCTTTCCTTCGTTCTCTATTTACTTCACTCACTGTAAAACTCGAGTTACTCGACAATTGACTGTGAGATAAAACGTTGTTGCATTATAATTTATATGGTTATTAGGTTGCCAATGATTCTCAAGGCAAGGGTGTATTGGAGGAGCTTGAAGCTGATGGAGTCAACACTTCCTTCTTTATTGTGAGTCTTTTTTGAAATCATTTATGCTTCACACTTATTGGAGATGTCTTATCCTGCAATCATCATTGTTCTTAACTTGATTGGTTTTAAAAGCTTATTTGCCTTGAAGATTTGTTTCATTGGTATTGTTTAATATTTTTGGGCCTGTTTGATTCTAGAACCAGATTTTACTTAAATATAAGTAGTTCATTTGAATATGTGATCTTACCTTCCTCAACCTCCAAGTTAAGAGGCAATAAAATAACTTAGGAACTCAGGCTACCAACATTATGGCAGGACCAACCTGTGAATAAATGTGTTTATCATGTTTAGTTTGGGATTACATGTACATCTCATCATCTATGGACTATTTCCAGGTCAATCAAGCATAACTTTGTTATTTCCTAGGTTCATATGCACATTTTTTTGGCTGCTTAAATTTTAAAATGAGACATCTTTTATCGGATTATATGCCATACATGAGACTTGCCACATTTATTATAGTATACATCTTCCCTTACATGTTGCATTTCAACCTGAATTCTCTCCCCTTCCGACTTAATTTTGTTGCTTTCAGGTTTCTGAGCAGGGTAACTCACCATTTACTTATGTAATCGTTGACAACCAAACGTGAGCACTTTCATTGAGATGGCTGTGAAATTCTGTATTTTCCAATGTCCTATCCTTATTCTCCTATCCCCATTGTTGAATAATATATTATCCTTTCCGTAAGCAGTGTGTCTCTTCACAAACCCCTCTTTGGGTGCAGAAGGAAGCTGCAATCATATCCTCGTAACAAGAATGGAAATAAAGTTGTTGCTTATGTTACAAAAATGAACTTAGAAATAAGGATGTTTGCTGATTGGTTTAATTCAGCCAAAACTCATATTATGTTAAAATCAATCTCCATGGTTAGAGGCGAATACTCATCTATCAGTTAATAATTTCAGAAAAAGCCGTACTTGTATCCACACCCCTGGTTATCCACCCTTGATACCAGAGGAGCTGTCTCATTCAAATTTATTATCTGCACTAGATGGGGCAAATTTGGTCTACTTTGATGGAAGACACCCTGAGACCGCTTTACTTGTTGCAAAAGAGGTAATTATTTTTCTTGTTCTGCTTATAGTATCAATGTAGAATAATGAAAACAAGAGCTTTTGTATTGGTGGAAGATGATTTAATCTAAATCCATGTATCTCCAATTTCCTAAACTTTTATAACTCATCTTTTACAATGATTATCTTGGTTCCTTTATTGAAAAACTATCAGAAGCAAAGAATTTGCTTTTGCTAACTGTTAGGCTACTCACAGGCTTGTGAGCAGCTGGTGTTCTGATTGAACGCTTCTAATCGGACTAATTCCATTTGAACTTCATTATTTTATGTTCTGTGATATGCTTCGGCTTCGGCATATGGCATAGTTGATATTGGCAGTTTCCCTTTGTAATTGCTAAAATACTATGGTCTTCCTTTACATTCCTTGTCAAGATTAATATCAACCAATAGCAAGTCAATAGCATTTTTTGGCTATTTCCAGTGCAGGCTGCTCGCAAGAATATACCAATATTAGTCGAGGCAGAAAGGAAAAGGGAAGGTTTAGATGATCTTCTGGAATCTGCTACTTATGTAGTATGCTCTGCAAAGTTTCCACAGGTAAGTTGATCTTGCATCATTATATGTTTCTTTTAAATAGAGCATTCTATTTCTTGAACATTGTCTTCCTCACCATTTCTTTTGGCATTGCAACTTTTAGCCATTGGCCATGCTTTTCTGCTTACAATATCCCTGTTAACTTTTCTTTGGTCAAAGTTGTATTGGGTTTAGCGTCTGTTCAAATAAGTGTTTGTCAAAAATATATAGTACGACTTAAATTTGTTTCAGTTTTGAACTTGGTGTTTTAAATATTTTGTTTGTACTGCTTCTTTTAATGTTTAGTTCAACATTGTGGATGAAATTTGTTAAATTATTTCATCCAATGAAACAGGCGTGGACAGAAGCTCCGTCTGTTCCAAGTGCGCTTATTTTCATGCTTCTGAGGTTGCCAAAATTAAAATTTGTGATTGTAACATTGGGTGAAGATGGATGCATAATGCTAGAAAGAAGTGTAAATGGTGGGTGTAGTTGTGTTGTTGCAGAATGTCACTTAAACCAGAACTACAAAACATGGTTGGAACGAAAAAAATCATTTTTTTACAGGTTTTAGTTCCATATTATGTTTGCAGGTGGTTCTGATGCTGAAGAAATGGATGTTCACGGTTTATTGGAATCATTAAAGCAGAGAAAAGATGACAACAAGACCATCCCAACATGCATTTCATCAGTAATAACACGCAAAACAGAGGACTTTATGACTTATGCGTTGACCTTAGGACTTATGTTAGTCTGTGAACGACGTGAGCATTTTTCTTTTAATTTGAAAACTTTGCTTTCCCGGTCTTTGTAGGTGGCAACCAAATTGAATTCAAGTGGGATAGGGACTCTGACTGGTCGGTTATTTGTGGGAACATCTGAGAAGATACCACCTTCGGAACTTGTCGACACAACCGGAGCTGGAGATGCATTTATCGGAGCAGTACTATATGGTACATTTAACCATTTCAAGTTTCAATTTAATTTATGTCCATCTTTTGTCTTCTAAAGATTGACATTAATTATGATTAATATTCCTGAAACTTGCTACAACTAGGTATGAAAGACTTTCGTATTATTCTCTAGGTTCTCATATTTTTCTTGGAATCAATGATATCTTGTTCCAAAGGCGTATATCTAGCAACATTTTCTTACAGTGCAGGTAACAACACTGAAGTGTGACGTGCACCAAAATCACCGAGTGCATTTTCCGCACTCAATTAACGTCATATAATTGTGACTGTCATATACAATGGCATTGTATGCTCTAGTTTTCTACCTTATGATTTTGATTCAGCCATTATGAAGTCGATGTTGACCATTCATTTTTGTTGTTTTTAGCTGTGTGTGCAGGCATGCCACCGGAGAAGATGTTGCCATTTGCAGCTCAAGTGGTAATCGGATTTTAGCTTTGTAAAGGGGTTGCCATTTGATTGCTGTGAGAAGTTTTTCCTAAGCTAATGTGATTCTCTTTGCAGGCTGCAATTGGCTGTAGAGCTTTAGGCGCCCGAGCTGGTCTTCCGCTCCGCACAGACCCTCGCCTTGCTGGATTTTCATAACACGTTTCTGCAAGGCAGCAGTGTAATATTGTAGCTTTGCCCCCCGGAATTTTCTTAATTTCATTTCACAAACAGGAAACCAAATAGAAAGGATTCTCTTTGCAAACATTAATTTGTTACTGTTTCAGAATGTTTTATTTTTAAGTTACAACTGCAACATAATCACAAGTAAAAATCATTCTTATAGCCACTCGATTGAGTGTTAGATCGTTTGGCACTGTTTCCCTTGTCACAAACAAGGGGGATATGGATAGGGATAGCAATGGGATGGTCGGGTTTTGATTAACCCGATCTGAGAAGCATATTATCTTCATTCGAATCTGATACATTGATCCTATCTGAGAAGCATATTATCTTCATTCGAATCTGCCACATTGATCCTATCGAGTTAAGTTGGAACACATCAAATTTGAATTTAGGTCATGTGTCAAATTGCTAGACATGGAAATTTGAGTTCAGATCAAATCGCTAGACATGGGTGTGAAGAATCAGGAAGTTTAGGTATTATATTGAAATTGAGTTAATTATTACACATATCTTCAAATTATGATTTTTATTTTAAATTAGTCTACAATTTTTGGATGTTCTCAATTTTGTCCTAAATTATGACTTATTTTAAATTATTCCTTAAATTTTTGAATATTTCAATTTTATTATCAAATTATGACTTGACTCACTCGTTTTAAGTTGATATTTATACTTGTAAACGTTTTAGTTTTATTTGAAACTATCATTATCAAGGAGGAAGAATGAAAGAGAAATAAAAGAAGTAATAACCATTGTTTGAAAAAAAGAGGAGGGGGGGGGAGAATATATGGGTTTGGCAATTCATGTGATATCCTCATGGAATATGCGTAACAGTCTCACAGCTTTGGGGGAGTTCAGCATTTCAGTTGGTCCATACAAATGAGAAGGGCTGAAGCCATCAAGACAGTTTCACATGACCATAACTTGGACCACGGCTCCGTTTGGTTTACATGATTTTGAAGTGGTAGGCTCGAGGCTGGACCACCCTTTGCTATCAATTGAATCCCCCACCGTGATTTTCATGGTCCAATCGAAATTTCCAGCAGCCCGCTCGTACAGCTGCCAATGGTAGTTCTGGCATGGATTAAGTGGATCCTATGCCGACATATGATTTTATATTATGAAATAAATTTATAAAATTTTAAAAGAAAATGAATTTATAAATTTTAGACAGATATAAATATATTTTCAATAGAATATATAAAAATTTAAAATTTTATAAAAGGCGACCGTCATCGCCCATTCCCTCTATCTATCCCTTTCTCTGTCCGTTAAGTGATAAACTTCGAGCCCACCTCTAGTTATAGGTTGGTCCAAGGCTTTTATAATCCTACTCTCGCAGTCCAACTCTACCTGCTGCAGTTGGTGAGTATTTATTAGACACAAATCCATGTCAATATGCCATTCAACAATACATGTATATATATAGCCACGGAATTAGGCTTAAATAATAAAAATTTAAATTATTTAATTTTAAACCTATTTGAATTTAAAAAATATATAATTCAAAATTTAAAGTGATAAAATTTCATTAAATTTAATCGAATCTAAACTCGTGATGTAGAGATCAAATATCCATCCTAATGAAAACTAAAAATATACACATTTGAATGCATTTATCTTATAAAACAAATTCCACAACTGAGTTGGGTTTATAAAAATTCCAAAACTTTGAGAAATATTTTAAATTCCATAAATAAAAGGAGATGGAGCCAAATTAAGAGTGAGTCATCTGGGTTGTCACATGGCGCTCGCCATGATTTCCTTTTTCAGATCGTCCCATTCCTTACAGTGTTGATGTGTATGTATGTATGTATGTATGTATGTATGTATGTATGTATGTATGTATGTATGTATGTATATATACATCACAAACCCTGATTTGACTTATCATCCATATGATTAGTTAGTTGGAGTTTTCATGTCAATTCATATATCTCCGTATTAATTCAAATAATATATAAATAATATCATCAAATGAAAAGAATTTAAAATTATTGAAAAATGAGCTGAATTTATTATTCATGCATAGTAGTTCATGACAACAAATTGAATTAAAATTATTAAATTAAAAAATATAATCCTACTAAATATATTAATATTATAACAAGTGTATTTCATTTTTTAAAAATAAAAACAAATAAATATGATAGTTGATAAATTTAAGAGTAAAGTACATAAATGGTTATGATTAGAGATTGTTATTTTATTGAGTCATCCGACTATTAAAACTTATAAAATAGTCTTCGATTATAAGGTGTTATTTTGTTGAGTCATCCGGTTATTAAAAGTTATAAAGTGGTCACCTAACTATTCGTATGTTCCACATTCGTCTTTTTTCACTAACAAATTGACTGTCGTCGAGTCAATGCTTGAAATATTATATTGTTGAATTAATGCTTGAAAGCAACAACGGTTCCAGTAGACATCATTAATATATGATTTTATCATAACCTAATTACCAGGTTAATGTCTAGCTCATACGTCTATCAAATTTTTAATAGAAAAAAATCAAGTTTGAAATATATGAATATTTGGGTGATAATTTTGTAACTTTTAATAGTCGACGGCTTAACAAAACAACGAGCTATGGTTAAGGAATCAATTTATAATTTTTAATAATCGGAATACTCAATAAAGTAGCGCTCTATAGTCAGATACCATTTGTATACTTTACCCTAAATTTAAATGATTTAAGTCTCAAGACCAAAAGGGAAACGGTATCTTTCATGCTATATTCTTCGCTGCAGTATGAGACAACAAAAATCATGTAAAATTAAACATGTCTGAAAACACAGAGATCTCTCTTGTATATTATACCGTTCCTTGTTGTAACCACCCAAGAAAAAATAAAGCACTATTTGACAAAACCTATGATGTCACAACTACAAATGAACATACATTTTCGAGCGTCTTTCACAAACCCCATTTTCCTAAAAGATTTTGTTGGAAAATATATTCCAAATAGTAATTAAATTAGTACTGGAATTCTATAGTATTTTTTTTCTTTAAATCTAGGATACGTATAAGGAAGCATGTTCAAAGATAACTCTCAATATCTCGACATTGAATACTCACAATAATTCATTTACTACATAAGCCACTTGGTTCGTGCTATTATTTTGTTTGTAGTTTAGGTGTAAGAGAATCGGCGAGTCATATGGCATAAAACATAGACAAAGTTTTCCTATTACATATTATCTTCTAAATCTTTCTAAGCTTCTTATTCCTCCTTTTAATAATTAAATAACTTAAAAGTTGAAAAAACATTTTTTAATGTGCTCATATAGATTTGTTGATAAGATTTGTTTTGTTATTGTTTAGATGAGAATTTGTTATATTTTCTTACAATTCTCTCATATTACCATGTGTCCCTGTATCCTTTTTACTTTGCAATTTGTAATTAATATAATAATAAATTCAATATTTAATCTAATTGATTTTTATTGATCTATATTTTTGTAATTAATTGATTTTTCAATCTTCTAAATTGATCATTTTAAAAAATCGAATCATTATGTTTTCAATATTCGAAGTATTTTAATTAGATAAAACAAATTGATTTTTATTTGAAAGATTTAAACTAAATTTTAATTAGAAAAATAAAATAAAATAAACCAATTATTATAGATATTGAGAATTGAATTTATTATTACATGTTTGTAATTTCTTTGAAATAACCTGTATAATTTATTACCTGCACTAACTGCAATGATGAGATGGATAAATTCCTTAAAGTCAGACACCCTTCGATTTCATTAACATTCTCTTGTTTAAAAAATAATTAGCTAAGACCAAACCCAAAATTATAAGCTCGTTTATAATAATAATAATTTTATTATTTGCTTTTGCAACTTACCAACTAAAAGGCTTCATGTTATTTTCCTTTATATATTTTGTTAGATTTTTAAATTTCATTCAACTTTCATGTTATTTAAATTTCATTTATATATTAATAATTTTATAATTTATTCAAATTATATTTATAATAATTTTATTACAATTTCATTCAAATTAGATTTATAATAATAATTTTAATATAAATTTCATGTTATATAAATTTCATTTATACAATGTGACGTTACTCTACCGATTAGAAAATAATTTATTCATGAAGGTCATGAGAATTGAACCCGTAACTATTTAGAAAATTATTAAAACTTTTTTTTAAATAATTTGTTTTATAAGCTTAGAGTTCAATTCCGAGGATATTAAAAAACAAATTATTTTTTAGGTCATGTGTTCAATTTTCATGATTTTTAAAAATTAATAGAGTTAATATCATGTTAACAAAATGATCAAAATAGAATGATATTGATAGTTCGAGAATTGATAAAAATATTTTAAAATAGGATCATAATTTGAGAACTGATATAAAATATTTTAAAAAGTTTGAATTAATTTAAAATAAGGTCATAGGGGATATATTGTACAATTATCTGGAATAAAAATTATATTTTCAAAGTTCGTATTCCCCGAAACACCGAGCCTTGTGCTTAGTGAAGTTAGCATTGGCAAGTGAGGTTTCAGCTGCAATATATAAGCGCGTACGGTGGTGATGAGAAGCCAGTTCAGAGTTGAGCGATGTGTAATTTTATATGCCAACTAGATTTTGCCTTTCTTGAACTTCTCATTACGCGTGATCAAAACCATAATCATAGATTTGAGCAAATATAGCCTTTTGGGGTTATAGTTTACAATTCTGATTAATTATTAATAGGGTTGGCATCATATCTTTTATGTTATAATTTACAATTCTGATTCGTGGAATCACAAAATCCTCTAAACTACTCGTGTTGTATTATAATAAGGGTAAATTATAAATTTTATCACTCAACTTTCTTCTCACTTCGGTCATTAAAGATTAAAAAAAAATTAATTTACTCATTGAACTTTTAAATTTTCCCATATTTTAGTCACTCTGTTGTTAAATACTTAACTACATTATGAGTATACATTTTTCTTTTAAAAATTATGAAAGGACTCCCAAACTCTCTTCATGTTTTTGGTAATAAAACACATGATTTCATATTCATTTTGATTTCTTAACGATGAAATATTCTTCCAAAACTCAACGGTGGGGAAGTGGGGAAGTGGTGAAGGAGGAAGCAATTTGTATATTTTGATTCTATGTTAATTGAATGATGGATATTATAGATCAAAGTGATTTAGGATTTTATGAGATTTGGATTTAGGGCTGAGTTTCTTGAGTTTTAAGGTGGTTTTGAGAAAATGTAAACTGATAGAGTGATATGAAACGATGAGGAGAGTTCGCTTGTATCTTGAGTGTTGAGAGAAAACATCGAAGAATGATAATTGCAGCGTTGACGTGACATAGGGATGAAGCTGTAAAACGTTGGAGGAATAAAATAAAATAAAAACGGGAAAATGACATGGAAGACACATGGATTCCATGTTAATAAAAAAACAAAGTTTAACAAGTAAATTGAAAAAATTTAAACTTTAGTGATCAAAATACGAGTGAAAAAGAAAGTTGAATGATAAAATATAAAATTTAGCCTTATAATAAAGAAGTTGAAGAAGATGTATTGCATGAGTCATCACAATCTCTCTCATCCCTAGAAGTAGAGACGTTGGGGGTGGTGGAGCAATGCAAGGCTGTTGCATTTGGTGTTTTGGGGCATAGCAAAACTACACACATATCTCCATCAGATCAAGATATTCCGTATCATGCATGGGATGCGACTCACTGACTCTCCATGATTAAGTTTTCAAACCACTTTTTATCTTTCTTTCCCATATTATGTAATGATACATATTCGGATTTGTTTTGATGCATTTGGAGGCTTGTTTTGTAGTTGTTATTTGTTTATATTAAATTGTCTTGAAGCTGCCCAATAATGAAATAGAGGTAAGTTGGAAATGATGTTAGTATATGGTTAATCTTAGAAACGCCAAACGTCCCACGTAGCTCTCAATCTTTTCATGAAAAGGAGAGACTTACATGGAATTCAAGGTCGACCTCAATGCCCATGCACATGCTTCCCTGCACTTCTCTCTCTTGCCCTTGCCAACTTTATATTCATGAAATAATATCATACAAAAATACTTTAACTTTGTATACGTATCTTTTAAGAAGAGGATAATAATTCATATTAAGTGGTATCAAAATAATCTTTTGACTGCTTAATTTCAATTTGATTGTCCCATTAACTGATATAGACGGAGTAGAAAAACGTAACGATCCTAACAAGGATGTTATGAGAAAATAGATGACATGTTTGAATGATTCTGAATATTGATATTAAACTCTAAACCCTATATTTAAGACCCAATACCTATAATGCTAAACCTTAGATAGGATAAATGACATCAATAAAACTCTAAAAATATGAAATAATAATCGTTATATATATATATATGTATAAATATAAAATATAATATAATACAGAAAAAATAACATGAAAACACATTATAACATATTTACCATCAAACTTTTCTTCTTGTTTACACGATCACAAAGTTGTACTTTTACAGGTCTATTCAAAGAAAGTGCACCTACAAAAAGAAACCCTAAAAAAAGGTAATAATCAGCGGCAAAAAGGCTTTGGTATTTCATAATTAGGGGAGGATGCAATGCGCGTTAAACAAGCATAGGGTTGCTGGCCTTCCACGTATCGTGTATGAAACTTTCGATATGAACCTCAACATCATCCTAGTACTTCGCAGATTATCTTTGCCATGCATAAAGAATATTCTCTCTTCACACTCTGCGCGTAAATATTTCTCTGGCTTCGTACCCCTTTTCTCTTTGTACGAAGTGCCTGATACGTAGATGGATAGAATTATTTTATAGTATACAAAATACGGAAATATAATTATTTGTTGAATTTAAATAAATAATATGTATGTTTATAATAAAACTAGTGATAGATTTATATTTTTTTAGGATGACCATAAATATATTAATTATATTATTATTTTTTGTTTGAGAGTAGACATATAAAATCTGAAGATGATAAATAATTAATTGAACGAAATTCGAATTCTAGTGTCCACCCTCAATTCTACTTGCGTCTGCCACTGAATAAGATCTAGTTACACTATGTAAAAAAATTTTGTTTTATAATAACGTAAGATCATTTGATGAAAAATAGATGGATAGTTAAGATACACAATTGAAAGCGATTAGATTTTTACAAGTAAAAAATGTATAATATGAATATATACGGTTTTAGTTTCTACTATCCATTTACATTCATACAATGGTCCTAGATTAATATAAAACTAAAGTTACATGATGTGGATGGATTATGTCCCTATATAATTCATAATGAATATTAGTAAGAATAAATAATTTTACTTATAATGTTAAAATTCACTATTAATGTTTGATAAAATAGTCTTTTTTTAAGCACTTTGACTTTTAACGTTTCATTTTGAGAAAAAATATCTTATGGTTGGATGAAAAATTATTAGTTGACTATCAGTTAATGTTTGTCACTGATATGATAATTCATATATGTCCAAAATTAAAAGACATATATCACATTATCACTTATATACACATGACATGTGATATATCATCAATTATATACATGTGTCATGTGACACATCTATTATAAATTTAATTATTATTAACTAAAATTTTAAACCTAATCATATCAACTATAAATTCATGATATTATATCCTTTAACTAATATTCCTTCTAAATGTGTCTTATTGGCCCTTTAAAAGTCAAAATTTTTAAATTTTGATCTTGATTATTCTAAATAATTCAATTTTATAAAATATATACTTAAAAACTAATTGATTTAAGATTTTTAAAATACAGTTGTATATTTTTATCAATAATAAAATTTAAATAATAATGTGCCAAAATTAAAAGATAACTAAAATAATAATAAATGACAGATTCAATGAGACAGAGGGAATATCTACATTTAATTCTTAATGTGAAAAAAATAAGTCAAATCAAGAGAATTAACCTTGTAATAAATTTGAACTCCGGTTTGCATAATAAAACAGATTTTTCTTATAAAAAAGAAAGAATAAAACCAACAATCAGTTAGTTTAGTAGGAAGATATATTAGATGTTCGAACTCTGACATTTGTGAATTGAGTAAATAGAAATGGGAACGTCATAACATGATAAGCCTTTGTAAAATTTAATTTAAATTAATCGATAAATAGATCTAATATCAATGATTAATTAAAATAATAGGAAAAAAAAAGGAGAAAAAAAAAGACATGAAAACTATATACATAGAGAGAATGTAAAACCAAAAGGGGTCGAAGAAATGACGAAAAGGGTGGAAGTGGGAGACGGTTGGCAGAATGGGCGTACAAGTTTATATGGGTCGAAACAGCCTTGAAGTCGCAATCGCAAGATGTGGGGGCGATGTGGGATTGTGACACTACCGAGGCCACCGCCCTTATTCCACTCCACGTGGGAGCATCGTCTCCTTCCTACTCACCACCCTTCTCTTTGCTTCTTTGGCTTCCATTCCCTTTATTTATTATTCCCCATTTTATTTCATTGAAAAAAATCAATTCTATATTCGTTTAGCTTCCGTTAAGTGGGGTCCTTAGAATCAGATGAGGATGTTGGGTCATTTTCTTTGTTTCCTAATTCTCCTTCTAATCTCTTTCCTTCATCTCTGGTTTAACTGATTTTTATCTAAACTGGGTAAAATCATAGTTTTAATCCCTTCGGTATGCATAAATTCAAGATTTAGTCCACATACAATTTATTATATAACTTTTTCTTATCTTGGCTTGGATGCATGAAGCTTTCAAACTTCGAAAAAAATCAATTAATTTTCTTTCTTTCTTTTTACTTAAAATGAGAAATTAAATTAATTAACCACTGAAACGGAAAAACCTAAAAATCATGAGCTTAATTAATAGTTTTTAACAAGTTTGAGGACTTTATGGACCCGTGAATCGATTTTAAATATATCCATTTCGATGCATGAAATCTACGAGCACATTCGATGTTGGACAATCAGAAACCTTCAAACTCTACCTTCTCAATGCCAACCAACTCTTCTCTCCTCCTAATACTTTCTAAAAACAATAACATTATGGAAAGGGTCAAATTTTGATTCTGGTCCTTATACCATGCCAAAGTTTGAAATTTAGAACCTGTCTGATAATTCATTCGATATTTTTTTCACCTATATTATCTTTCAAGCACGAACCAACTAACCTTAGTGGTTAAAGAAATCGTTGTTGTTCCTAGAGGTCATGTGTTCAAGCACCAGCGACTGCAAGGGTGATTGAACATTCATTGTCAAATGGTTGAGAATACTTAGAACATATACTATTTTGTAATCACATTTATCTTAATAAAAAATATTATCTTTCAAAAATTATATTTATCAAACAATTTAATTATATCCAATACTTAGTTTTAATAAAAATACCAAACATATTTATAATTTAAATTCAACACTTTAATTTTTCCAATTAATCAAACAACACTTTAGTCTTATATATTTTAATTTGGTATATTTTGATCATTTATTTTTATAATATAATTAGTTAGTCTAAATAGTTAAACAAAATTTTTATTCTCGTTAAAATACTGATATAAACAAAATTATTTTTATAATATCTAAATAACATAAATATTCTTTTTTTAACGGTTTAATCTGTTCATAAGTTTTCTTACCTTTGACAACATGCTCTAAAAACAAAACTGCTCGAACTCAAAGATAACAACACTCTCTTCAATTATTGAGACTACTCTCATAATTAATCTTAAATTTACAAGTATAATATATGATTTTCTATTAAATATTTCATAAAACAACAAAAGTTAGCAATTGGCTTATGATTTGGAATTGACCCTGTTCAATTTGCATCATTATTAAATATTGTAATCACATGGACCTTTTACACCATTTTATCCCTATTTAAACCCCTCCTCTCTCCAAACCAACAACATCCAATTCTCTTCGCAACAAAGCATCTTTCTTCATTTCTCTCTTTCAAACTCCAGTTTGTGTTCATCAAAATTCAAAAACAAACACCAAACCAAGAAATTTCAGAGTTCTTTTTTCGACAATGGATCAGAGCTTGTTTCGCGATCTTCTTGACCAGGATCAAGATATGTCTGAACGTAAATGGACTTTGGTCAATGGTCCGGTTATAGTTGGTGCTGGACCATCGGGGCTAGCCACTGCTGCTTGCCTAAGAGAGCAAGGGGTGCCCTTTGTTGTGCTTGAACGAGCTGAATGCATAGCTTCTTTGTGGCAAAAACGCACCTACGACAGGCTTAAGCTTCATCTTCCAAAACAATTCTGTCAACTCCCTAAACTACCTTTCCCTGAGGATTTCCCCGAGTACCCCACAAAGAAGCAGTTCGTTGAATACCTTGAATCATATGCTAAGCATTTTGATATCAACCCAAAGTTCAACGAGTGTGTGCAGTCAGCTAGTTACGATGAAACCAGTGGTTTCTGGAGGGTCAAGACCGTGTCGAACAAGGCCGAGTTCGAGTACATTTGCCGCTGGCTGGTGGTGGCCACCGGAGAAAACGCCGAGTGCGTCGTGCCGGATATCGAAGGACTGACTGAGTTTGGTGGTGAAGTTATCCATGCTTGTGAATACAAGTCCGGGGAAAAATTCGAGGGACAAAAAGTACTCGTCGTCGGCTGTGGCAACTCCGGCATGGAACTTTCTCTTGATCTTTGTAACCACAATGCTTCACCATCAATGGTGGTTCGCAGCTCGGTGAGTCATTAAAAATTTAAAGCATGCAGTACATGAATATGACAATGGAGATTAAATTCTAATGTTCTGTTTTTTTTTTATTACAGGTTCATGTATTGCCAAGAGAAGTTTTCGGGAAATCGACATTCGAAATAGCTGTTTCAATGATGAAATGGCTGCCCCTTTGGCTCGTTGACAAGGTGATGTTGATTTTAGCTTATTTGGTGCTTGGAAACGTTGAGAAATGCGGGTTTAAACGGCCATCAATGGGTCCATTGGAGCTCAAGAACACAAAAGGGAAGACCCCTGTATTGGACATTGGTGCATTGGAGAAAATCAAATCAGGTGACATCAAAGTTGTTCCCGGAATCAAGCGTTTCTCGTATAAACAAGTCGAGCTCGTTAACGGCGAGAGGCTCGACATCGACTCGGTGGTATTGGCAACCGGATACCGCAGCAATGTTCCTTCATGGCTGCTGGAAGGTGAATTCTTTTGCAAGAATGGGTTCCCAAAGGCTCCATTCCCACATGGGTGGAAAGGGAATGGTGGATTATATGCAGTTGGGTTCACAAGGAGAGGGCTCTCTGGTGCTGCCTCAGATGCCATTAGGATTGCACAATATATTGGAAAGCTATGGAAGGATGAAACTAAGCAACACAAAAAGCTTGCCATTGCTTGCCAGAGAAGATGCATTTCACAGTTCTAAAATCTTAATCCTCAGTGCCAAAAAAAAAGGTGAAAATATTGTAAAACACCCAAAACAAAACAGGTAGCACAGGCTGACAGAGCCCCTCCAAAGGCCCAAGTTTTGATTCCTTTGGGCATTTTGTACACTGAGGATGATGAGGCTTTCCAATTTTCTTTTCTTTTTCTTTTTGTATAGTTGTAGTTTATTAACAAAGTTAAATGATACAGTTTCCTTTTTCTGTTCCATCAATGGGCTGCCTTTTGTTTTCAAGGTTGGTTTGATACATGAATCTGTTTCCTCCAAAAGTATTTTACAGAAAATCCATTTTTTATCGACAATTTCTCTCTCTTTCACAAATTAAGTTCTACTTTCATGGGAAAAAATAGAATGTTCACTCAGAATTGAGTATTTAATCGAGTCAGGTTAAATGAAGAAAATTCGAGTTAGTCTAGTTAAAGAATACTATTTTATCACTGGAACTTTATTTTAAATATTTTTGAGTTGAATCTTGTTTATAAAATTTGAATTGAATCAAATATATTTATTCAGGTTTATGTTCAAATTGTATAATGTTATGATATTGATTGGTTCCAATTTAAACGGTTTGTATCCATATATGATAAACACATATTTATTTATATATTTTTTTTCACATGTGTCAGTCACATACATTGATAATGTTATTTAATAAATCAAATATTATCTCAAATTATATAATTTATTTTTCTAAAGAAGTGATTTTTATGACAATATTGATAGGTGTATGAAGGAGTAAAAAAATTGACAGGAATTTTTTTTACAGAGAGTTATAATTAAAAAAATAAATTGAATAAAATAAAAAACTAAGAGACTAAATTATAAAAAAAAGTTATTGTTCATAAAGAGAAATTAAAGTTACGCATGTATCCTACAATTGTTGATGAATATGTGGTTCAAAATTTATTAAAATTGATCTTAAAATAAAGGATAAAAGACATAAGAGAACTAAAGACCAAATCACAAAATAAGAGAATTAGAGACCAAACCCCAAACTTAATAAATAAAATTTTCACGCATGTACCAACTGAATTAAGTTTAAGATCACAATATTTTACGTAACAACCGTCTTGCGAGTTACATGGTATATATGCTTAAAAATAACCATCAAACAAGCTCTAAAATCAAGGAAAGGGCCCAATTGATTCAATGATTTTACAGATTATGAAAGTTGTCCATGAGGGGTGGTAGGTCACATACTCACATGATCATGAGGAACGATGGAACTTAACTCAGATCCCACCACCACCTTGTTCTCTCATTTTGTCAAATTTACACTAAGATGTTTTCTGTAAAGCATCAAGAACCGAGAACAATTCCAATATATTTCACGGAGGCTCCGACCGATTCAAATCATAAACTGGTTAGATTGACTCGAGCGATATGCAATGAGCATCTTTACCACCAACGTATAAGCCATGACCATGGGGCTTTTCTGTTCACATTCCCCAGATAGAACATAGAGACAGCCTGCACTGGTTTTCAAAGACAGTGATTCAGATATTACAACAGGGAGCTTTGAATTCCCTTACACAGCAGCAACTGATCAGTTTCTTGTTGCTCTTAAGACATGTCTTTTGCCAGCTTATCTACATGTTTCTTCCATGCCCCTATGATTTGGACATCACTGATAACCATAGCAGTATGCATGTTTCTAGTCCCTTATAACTTGGACATCACAGTTAAACAATACTGAAATTAAACACATGGGATTGCTATCATTTTCCCTTGCCAAAATGGCACAGTCCTTCTGCAAAGGGACCCGTCATTTTTCTATCTTGTGCAATATCATGATCTGTAAGTCAGAACTTGTTTTGTTCTTTCACATGGTTGGGTCGACTCGAGACTCCGGCAGAGTGGACCGGAGCGAAGCAACAGATCACATGCAATGGCATTGGCATTGAATTCGTCACACTTCTCCGGTTGTTTGTTCTTTGATATCATAGACCAATGTTCGAGTCTTGTGTCATTTTTACCGTCCCAAATGACTCGAGGATGTTGTTCCTAGTCCTACCAGCCCAAGTCTTTAGAAACTCTTTTGAGTACTTCTCAATACACTATTGGAATCCATTGCTAAATTATGGGATGATAGTGATATATGACTCCATGTTTGCTTACTGGCCTTGGCCAAGTTGATTATCTGAGACTCAGTCGTTGAATGCAATGACGATGAATCATGCAAATTTAGAAAGTTTGGTATATAATTTCTGCTTATGTAATTATAGGGTCTGAGAATGCAGCGGCAGTGGAGGTATTAACAGAGGAGGAGAATGATGCTAATTCATTGACGGTAGTCTAAACCTTATTTAATACAAGATTTCAAATAATAAAAGAATTCTCGTTGAACATTGCTGTAAATTGGTAGCTGTTTGTTTGTTGCAATATAATTCAAATTCATCGAAATAAAAGAATTCTCTAATCAAGTAGTGACACATGTTAATAACGAAACATGTCACAATCATGTATTAATATGTGTCACCTCCTGATTGACTGAAGGATTAGATCATTGAATTAAATTAAAATTAAAATCAAATTAATAAAATGTATAAATATTAATGATTAAATGTGTAATAATACTTTTTTTAATTATCACATCAATACTCACATTAAATGTTAACAAAAGATAACTTAATTACATAATTTAAATAGTTATATGAACTGATTGACAAAATTAAAAATCAATAATTAAAATAGAAATTAACCATAACTAAATGATCGTTTGTGTACTTGAGTTTTATATTGTATGATGAAACGTACAAGTTCAGAGCCCATTTAAGGCTCAACTTTTTCATTTGCAAGCAAACAACCAAACCCAGCCCACAATCCGGAACAATAAGAGCGAAACAAATGAGTAAAATTCCAAAAATAGCTGCTTAAAAACAAGAGATCAACGATCAAAATCTCAACAAGCAAACGAACAAATAACCAGAAATCAATACCATGGCAATTACATCCCATCTTGCAAAGCTGCGCTATGTTTCTCTAGACCGTCCTGGATCCTTCTCACACCCTCCAGGCTCCATGCAACGAATTTCTTCATATTCAAAGCGGCAGAGCTTCGACATCAACCAGCTTGAGCTTGGGCTGCAATGGGTCGACGAAGTAATGCAAACCCATGTTGGTCCGGAGCATGGCTTCCTCATTTGGGTCCAGTCTCGAGGAGAGTGTTAAGAAGACCGTGTATAGTAACCCAGTTGTTGTTTACTCCAAGACTTGGTGCTCGTGGGTTCAAATCTCATTCTCCTAATTTTTCATTTTCTTTTTGTTGTTGGAAAATTTAAATAATTTTGGTGATTTGTTGTGTGAATCGGACTTTTTATAGAGAGATTTGAGATGGTTTCCCCCCTCCCCCCTTGTTTGCAGGTATTCTTCGGAGGCGAAATCATTGCTCAAGAAACTTGGTGTGGAGCCTTTGGTTATTGAATTGGATGAATTGGGTTAGTCTTTGTTTCAGAACTTTTTTTTTAACGTTTATGCTATGAAGTTTATTTATTTTCCTTAGGCTACTACTCAATATTGTAAAATGTTTAGAGATACTATAGGGAAGGAAGCATGATTTTACGATAGGGGCAAATTTTACAAATTTTACGGAGTCAAAAATAGATTATGAATAGAAGATATAAAGAAAATACCTAAATTACATATACCGATATTTGGTTATCACCATACCTACCCTTACATCAATTAAGTCAAAGGAAAGGTGTTTCCTTTCTGGCACCTAGAGGCTCACCTTTTTCACCCAAATGTGTACCTCCTTTGGTTCAAATTGAGGGAGGTGCACTTCGTTGACAATGCTTCGAGGGTATGTGAGTATCCAGAAGACAATTTCTTTGATGCCAGGAAACGTCTAGATCCCGGCCATTATAGATACTATTTGACTTTCTTGTTATTTTGGTTTACTTTGACCATTTCTTTTTGTAACTTTATTGGATTAATTGATGAAAAATGAGTGCTTTTTGGTATCTTGCTGAACTATTATTCTTAGCAGAAACACAATCTTTGCTTCTTGGCTTTGTCAAGTTGATTGATAAAATTGAGAGTGAGATGTTGAATGTAATGAGGACGAGTCTTGCAAATTTTGAAAGTATATTGGTATATTTTTTTGCTTAATCACAGAAACAAACAATGAAGAATGGAGATTTGAGGGAAACTAAGTTCACGGTATGCATGAAGTTATAATAAAATTTGAGTGCGTCTTGTAGTTCTTCAGTACGCTTCTACAACCCGTTTAAATAACGAAAGACTTGGATTCATAATCTCTTTTGGCTTTTTATTGTAACCTTGAAAATTTTAACCAATAAGATAACTAATCAGTTTAATAATTTTCAAGTCCCAGTGCTTTGAAATCATAACAGTAAGTCACGTTGATCGCATATCACCATGTGGTACTTTCACTTTGAAAAAATGATTGGGAAGCTGGAAACCGAGTTTATTTAGCACTTATCTTATTCAAAAGAACAGGATTTCTGGGTTGAAGTTTATGCCTTCTTTCTCCAAATATCTCAAATTGGACTGTGCAATCAGTTACTATTCTTCTTAATATTGATGTTGCGTATAGTAAAGAGTTCTATCTTTTTCAGGTGCCCAAGGGCCCCAAGTGCAGAAGTTGCTGGAGCGGCTTACTGGGCAACACACTGTCCCAAATGTTTTTATTGGTAAGTTTATTGAATTAGTTTTTACCTAACCAATATAGAACTCTGTTTGTAAAATGGTATGCATGGCTTATTGCTTTTATATGTATAAAATCCCTACCAATCCATTTATTATCTTTAATGTTTACCATTCTATGAAAGGATGAAGTATAAGGCTGTCTCCTCAGGTTGGTCTTTACAAACAGAATAGAAGTCTATCATAGTATAAATAATAAGAAAATCAGTATGAGCATCATGACTTGGCACTTGGCTTATCTGTTTTATTTATTTATTTTTGGAAATGTTGAACATGGAATAGTGAAACATGGTAGAAAGTAAGTTTTGTTAAAGTTCTAGCTAAAAGAATCATGTGTGAAAACGACTACCTTTTTTTTGGTTTTGATTCTAAAAGAAGTTGCAGTGACCGAAAAAATTTGTTGCTTTTGGTGCCTGCCATGTTATACTTTTGAACAACAACCTTAGGAGCTTTGTTTAAAGCGACCTGTTAGATAACTAATGCTCTAA